TTCACTGGAGACAAGAACAGGCACTCCAGCTGAAATTGCTTCCAGGGCAACCAGACCAAACCCTTCCGTGCGTGATGGCATCACAATCAAGTCTGCTGCACGAAACATCTTTTTCATTTCTTTATTGTCGCGATAGCCACGGATAGTTAATTGGTTGCGCGCTATCTTTGTTTTCTCAAGAAACCACGTCTCTGTTCTCCTCTGTTCGTCTTTCGGTGAACCAACAAATGTCAGTTCAAACTTCCTGCCAAGTAAAGCTACTGCCTTTCCAACAATATCATATCCTTTAAGTGCAAAGTCCTCAAAACTTCCACGGCCAATCATGAAGACGCTGAATTCTTCTGCTTCCGCTGGCTGAACATTGGCCAATGGTGTCACCTGAGTTAAGAAATTCTGGAAAATTCCAGGAGTAATGACTTCTACTTTGATATCAGGAAGACTTCTTCTGTATTTCCTCTGAAGTCGAGAGCCCACAGCAACAGCTAGATCGGCTGTTTCACAAAGCTCTAATTCTTGCTTATTCTTCTCTTCGTTGTCTGCAATTGCATCTGGTGTGGAGATGCCTTCTAATTTGTGTTTTCCCAGGTCTTCACAGAATACATGAACGAAATGTATCCATTTACATTTTGTCATCTTCGAAATGAACAAGGCAGCCCTGCCAAACTTTCTGCCATGGCCTACCACAACATCCGGCGTTGGAATCTCTGGTGTTAGCATTTTCAGCCACTCCATCGGATCATTAAATCCTGGAAGAGGTTGTGCAGTGATCAAATTCACTCCTTGTTTCTTAGCATCTAGTATGTCCTCTTCGCTGCTGCTGCAGACATAGCAGAAAACCTTGATCCGGTCGCTAGCTGCTTTGGCCAGATTTACAGCAAACTCCCTGTTGAAAGTGGGTAGACCTCCCTTGGAGGATCGCCACTCGTTGCAGACGAACATAACATTGATACTCTGAGACATCTTCACTAACAGATGGCTGAATTCGTCGCATCCCTTCAAGTCAGAAGAAATTCTTTGCCTTCTCCGGCCACTTTCACAAGGAATGAAGGTACCATTTCAATCCAAAGACTCCATATCAAAGTTTCATTGAAATGGCACAGGTTGTCAACCATCTAATGCAAGTAATGGCTAAAAAAATACAGAATCACAAAACTACTTCCGCGCTTGCCAACAGCTCAATGAATTTTGTGGCCTCATTGCCCATATTTGGCATACGATCAACCCAGATCGTAGGTCGTTCACGGGCCCTTCACGGACCCCTGTTCACGGGCGTATCAGCGCGGGGGAGTCTGGACTCAGGGCCCAGGGGAGCAAAGGGCCATTTCAGTGCCGAAAATAAAAAGAGGAACAAACGCGCGGAGAGGGAGATGGCTGTGAAAAGAGCCCTCGCTCGCTTCAACTTCTTATAACGAAGTTTCTCACGCAAAAACTTTTTTTCTGAAAATTGATCACAATCTTTGAACATCCGCGAAACTTATTTTCAACTGATTTCGCTCCAATTCCACTGGAAGCTCTTTAGCATATCAACGCCCATATGGAAGTGATTGGTTACAATGAACAAAATGCTTACAAAATAGACCAGGTGCGGGGGAGACTTCCACATAAAAAGGGCGGGGGTGCTCGTCGTACCTTATAGGGGTTAAGAATGCGGTTTTGGTACCTGTTAGAGTGTTCAGCCTCAAAAGGTACACAAAGGAAGCTTTTCCTGAACCCTTTAGGGTACTGAGCGAAAAAAATATAAACAGTTATATAATGCGTTGTTTTAGAATTGGTAGCTCTTAGGGGTGAAAAAGATTTCAAGCCACGCCCACAAAACGGGATCTTGGTATCTCTTAGGGGTTCTTTTCAATCCAATGATCACCCCCATCTCTATTATATGGGAGTCCCCCAGGTGAGAGCAGGGGCCTCCTAATTAGACTCAATTCAACAAAGTTCAAAGATAATTTTCTGGAAAGCTTTCAAGTTGCATAGAATGAAGTATCTGCAATCATTGTGCTGAACATTCTTTCCATTTCTATTTAACGCGCCCATTATGCTTGGTGATTAGCCTGGCCTCCATTTCAATGACTGTTGTCTATTTGTGTAGTGCAACATTTATGTAACTCCTTGCAATGCAACCTAACTCTCGCTACAAACCCCAACTCCCTTCCACTTAATCTTAATGGGGATAGTTTTGGCTATTAAAGGCATAAGTGAAACTTGAGAGATGGTCAAGGTCAGAGAGTGAATCCCCCATATAGGTCTTATATCCAAGGTAATCCCTCTTAGGGTGGTACAATAGGCTAAAAGTCTATTTTAGGCCAAAGGGACCAAAACGTTTGTTTAAAAATGGTGAAAGATAGTGAGGAATGATCATCGCAGTAAATTTTCCAATTTAAGCAATTGGAAAGAAGAAGCCTGAAAAAAT